ATAATGCTTTATTAGATTTAAACTTTATTACCTCCCACTGCCTTTCAGTGTTGTGGTGTAGAGTGTCCTGCAGTTTGGCATTAGGTGGAGCCAGACAATGGTATTTATAATCATTCATGGATGGCATGCCGGAACAGAAATGTGAAACTATCCAAACTTAGTGTAGCTCAGGATTACTTATGATTTAATAAAGACAAGTAAGAAGAATGCACAAGAGGGGGGCAGAAGCCCTCAGATGGTGGTTTGCAAAAATTCCCCAACAAACCGGTCCAGCTGAGCTTCCTGAGGCATCGAACCATAGAACGGAGACTGATCCTAATGAGTAAGATGGTTTTTAGCATTTTAGATTATGGTTTTATGCAGATTGTACGGCAAAAAGTGATAGAATCAGATGTAATTAAACATGAGAAGGAAACCCAACAGATTTAAGTCTTCAAACCAGGGTTGCAACAAACATGCAGTAAGTTTCAATATAATGCAAGGACAGCACTGTAATACACTTTTTTATGACTTTTGTATAGTAAAAAAACTGATTTGGGGACAAGTTTCCCTTTTAGTTATGACCTGAATCGAGCTAATTGAGCCATGCTGCATGCAGGAACAATGTCAAACTTACAGATACAATGACAAAAATACAGAGGACATTATGCAAAACATTTGTAACATAGTATCAATGTTGACTGTGAGGGGCTATCCTAAGTTAATGGAGCAGAGTTTTAACATTCCATTGACAGCAACCATAACCAACATGGTAGAAGCAGGACTAACAGTACAAAGTGCTTCTCCAACCCTCTGATTGGTGGATTACACTCCAAACAGCTATATTACTATACAGAAGCGGTTAGTAAATCTGACAGATAGGTAAGGGTATAACTCAGCAGCTTTCTTAGAAGTTCAGTGTTATACCGATTTGCTTAGGGAATGATACTTCTTTAAGAATACCATCAAATCCGTCTCAATATAAAATCCATTACTATGACTGTTACCAATATGAAGCAATAATATCTGCCCTTCTAACAAGTATATTCCTATGTGTTTTCCTCAAATATGGTTTGAGGTTTTTTCCATGCTCCTTAAGTCGAAGGGAAATCATTTTAAATGTCAAATCATTCTGGCTTAAACATAAATATAAATGTACTCTTTAGCAGACCATATTGTCCCAAAATTTAGAAAATTTAGATTTAAAAAAATCCTGTCTTAAAATCTGTGTTTTTTTCCTTGTTATCTCATGCAGGCCAGCTAGTTATACGTCAGCCTGTACACCCACATTTGGCCAATCATACATAAATGGTAATCTGTCAATCATTTTTTTCCCCATCATAGCATCTTGATTCATATGTCGCAGCTAATACACGCAACAGTTTAAATAAGCAATAAAAATCATTTACTTTACCATTGAGTTACGTCCCAGTGTTCACTGGGATGGACTTCTGCGTCTTTGTCAGGCGTAGAGCTAACAGAACTGGCAGCGATTCGAGGGAAGGGCTCAAACGTGTACGGCTTTAAGCCTTCTACACCAAACGAAGCTTCTGCCGCCCTGGCGTCTTCTTCCACAACATCTCCATCCCCACTTTCCTCCTCTAATTGAAAAATGTATGACGGAGGAGACTCATCCACGACCTCCGAACACAAAACTCTCCTCCTCTTGCATGTTTCCACTGTCCATAGCGTTCCTTGACAGTGTTGTTTCTAAGTCACCAATTTAGTGCTACTAGGTACCAATAAAATTTCCGATTGGTAACCTACTAGCACTAAGTTGCTAACTGGTTAGCAAGATGCTTCAGAGAAACTGGCCACAACCAGACTTGCTTGCGAACCTTCCACAACAACCATCCCGCCCCCTTGATAAATGACCAATCACATTCACTTCATTCACTCGTGTAACGCCATGGACCACTCGGCAAAATTCCGAAACGCAACTGTTGGTACAGCCGTTACCCTACGACTTTAAGACATCAAGCAGGATTCTTCTAAATATATATAAAAAATAACAATTCTAGATCATCTGTTCACTATACAAGATTCTTGCCAGCAAAACTGGCCATTACAGTGAAACTATGCTGAATTTTAATGTGCGCAATGGCCAGGGAGCTTTTTTCTTCTTAAAAACATAGTTCTTTGAAAATAAACATGGGTTGTTTTCTGGTGTGTTTTGTTAAAGAAGCACATGCTTTTATTGTTTTATTATAAAGAAAATATGAGCATAATTTCTTTACATTTGTGACTGCAAACTGGTGGGTCTGTTCAGAAAGTTTGCCTCTTGATGCTGATTCATATTTTGAACTAAATAAATGACTGAAGTGAATTCACAATTTATGTCTGATTATGTAAATGCGAAGTATGAGTATACGGATAGGCTTATTTAGCATTTAGTACCAATGGGTGCATATTATATATATATATATATATATATATATATATATATATATATATATATATATATATATATATATATATTACAGGGAACTAAATCTTGGTAACTGACAAGAGACATCAACTTATTTGCTGTCACATTTTATTGAGGCCTGTGTAACTGATGCAATACCAACTGTTTTTGAGGAGTTATATAATGCACATTTATCTACATTTTTCAATGCATGAAACTAAACACACCAGATGCAGTCGAAGTCCAAACTTCTAAAAAAAAAAAAAAACAGCTGTAAAATTTTTTGTCATGAAAAGAGACTTGGTTAGGATGGCAGAGGAGAGTGAGTGAATTGTTCTCATGTTAACAGCAAAAAGAAATAAAAGCAAAAGCATGCATAAAACTAAAGACAAGCTTGTTTCAATGAACTGCAGTGGCTTATTTGAGGTTCTGGTATTAGTTGTCCCATTGCACCATGAGCTATTATTACAACAACTACCCATGAGACCAAGAGAGTAAAGATCCAAGTTAAAGCAAAAATCTCTGATCATTTGCAGAGGCGCTTCAAGTAATCTTATTTCTTTCTTGTAATGCATCTTCAATAAAACATTGAGAAAACTTGTAGTTCACGGAGACAGAGGTCATGTTTCATGTGGGATCTTAGAACAGCGCTGGAACTGTTGTAAAATGGGGGTGTTTTGGGGTGGTGGCAGAGGGGGAGGGTGGGTAGTGACATTTGCGCAGAACATTTCCTTTACAATGAAAACAATCTAACCAACTGCAGTACTCAAAGGAATTCACCTCCCCTCCCCCATCTCCCCTCCTCCAACCCCAACCATTACATTACCATATCAAAGCCCCGAGTTCAGAGTAAGTCTTCTCTTTCAAGAATGGGAGTGCGGCAGGGAGAGGGAGGAGGAGAGGACAAGACTGAAGCAGTAGGAGTAGACCCAAGACAGAGTTTGCTTTTATCCCTGTTTGGTGTGTATGTGTCAGTGTGTGCAAGACATATTGTGTACATCGTTGTGGCAACACATCTTTGTCTGTTAGTAAGAAAAAAATGCAAATATAAAAAAATAGCTTAAGGATACCAGAATGACTTCAGATAGGTTTCTCTGTGGGTTCCAATGAAGAGAAGTCATTTCACATTTCTCAAATAGACACTGGGGCCGGAGAGATGGTGGGGGTGTCTTGAAATACTAAAGCAGGTACACAGTGCAGTTAGGCTGCTACATAGCAGATGGGCAACAGAGTACAAGCAAAGCCAAAGTCTTTGCATTTCATGACTGGAATACTTTAAATAGGGATCCACCATTTACCAAACTGTATTCTTGGTTAGCTATTCTCTTACAAGTACTCACAGGTCTACAGTCTACTTTGCTGGGAGACTAAATGTGAAAATCAAAGTGAATGGCATTAGGGTAAATAAGACCACTGGTTGCCTGGGAAACAGTGTACCCAGCCCCAATCTCTCAAGCCTAGCCTTTACTTTCCTCCAATCACTAGAGAGCAATAATACATTATTGACAGAGGGCCGCAACAGACAGCAATGCAGTATTTTCAAATTGTGTTTGAACGAGAGAGACTTGCAGTTAGCCTAGACGCAAGGACAGTGAGAGAAGAGGGCACACTGAGGGGTAGACAAGGTGGGAGAGGGTTTTACGAAACCCAAACAGAACCATAAATCTGCCATTCATGTCCAGCCTCACCAAAACAATCCCTAAAAAACTCACAAATAGCAACACAATGACAATACCCTATTGTCATGATTAACTATTATTTAAAAACTACCATTAGCTAGGTTGTTAGCAAAGTTTGAAAATGCTGTAAAGAAACTTACTTTTACTTTGCTCTAATTGGCTTAGTTAGGCAGTTCAATAACATTCTCAAAGTACATCTGCACCATCAGTGAACACCACTATATAGACTTAGATGATATTTGACTATTTATATATTTGTAGTAGTTTAACTGCTAATAGAGATACACGTTGCACAATATAAAATGCTTTCACAGGCAACCAGTTTAATATTTATACTGCCTAATTATAAATGCAATATTTGTTACCATTAAATTGCAAAAGTCCATGAATAATGCTGAAATATCGTAGTACAGTACATATCCACACATTACATAGTTGGAAGTTTCTAATATATTTCAGCTCAAAAAGAGAGAACTGAAACCATTTTAAGGAGCAAAAGACGGAAAGAAATATGCACGCATGACAACTGATATCGTCATGATATTGTTTTTATATCTAACCGTTACAAGTATTCTAGTGATGCTTGTGCAGCCCTAGCCAATATTCACGAATGACCAAATATGAAAATGTTTTTTTAAGATTTAAAAGTAAAAACCTAAACACTAGTATAAGCCAGTGAAGACGTACTGACTAAGATTAGTTTCAGCTGTAGTCTGGATAAAGTCAGAAAAAGGGAACGGTTCCACAAATGTAGGATTAAAAATGTTAACATGGTTCAGGTTATCCTGGACAGTACAGAAAATGTACACATAGAGCTAAATGAGCTCCATATCAAATACAGAGGAATTAAATAAACAAAAACGCACTGTAGAGCCACTGGGAGAATGCACACAACTAGAGTCAGCTGGAAGAAAGAGAGTAAAGTAGAGACTCACCTGTCTTTTCTTTGATCTCACAAAGAACGCTGAAGAGTGCTGGTTTCATTCTGTGACAGTTCAGGGCATGCTTCCTGTGGGACGAAGGAGGGAATAAGACAAAGAAAAACTGGGATTAGGATAATGAAAACAACATTTTATGTCATTCCAAGCTTGAAAAATATCTATATGTGACAGACATGGGCAAAGTGGAGTCAACAAGTCATCTCCATGTCATGTATTGGTTCTACCCAGCCACTGAAGCAGGTGAGTCCAATCTGCACAGGTTAATTCACGGGG